TAAAATGTATTTTATTATTTGTATAATAATATATACATTAACAATTAAGGTAATATAATCTTAAAATTCAGAGTAAATTTTAATTGTAATAGTCATGTGAATGCTTTTTAAAGTCTTTAGAAATTGATTTTATATATGCTGATACAGATTTTAATAAAAGAATGTGTAAAATAAAATATGATCAGCCTTAAGTATTTATTCATTTAAATAATAATAGGATTCATTGAGTTTTGTGATTAAATCATTGACATTGATTCAATTTCTATAGATTCTTATGATGAAAAAAGATATTAATGGTAATAATGAATAAGAGAAAGCAATAAAATGTATAAATACATTCTAGCTCTTGATTCTTAAAAATATCTTGAATAAAAAATCAAGAAAACAAAAATGCTAGACTTAACATATGAATAACTAAAAATATGCTTACTTTGAAAAGGCTTGAATTCATAATTATATAAAATTTTTTAAAGAATTGAAATTTAAACAAAAGATTATTAGCATTAGATAATTCCTATTTATATAAACAGAGAATCATTTCATTAAGAATTATTTCTCTATTTAACTTGCTTAAAAAATTTGAAAATAAATATTTAATATGAAATATATATCAGATATTTTTCTATGTATTTGTTTCCTTTATACCGTTTTATCAAGAAATGATTAATGTAAGAAAATTGAATCAGTGGCAGGAGTTAATCTAATAGAAAAATTCCGAACTGACTATTTAATATAATCAGATGTAAGAATAGATAATGTTAATAATAATGAATTTTATAAACAAAAACAATTATTTGAAATAACAGAAAAGTTTCCTTTAAATATTGATGGACTTGGAGAAATATGGGATTATAATATAAGGATTGATTGGGAAAAACAAATTTTTAGATTTAGTTTATTGATTGTTAATGAAACATGTGTTACAATATCTTAGAGTTAAAAATTTAATATTTATAGTATTGCTAATACTCTATTAGAATAACCTGAATTAAAAACATTTACAACATATTTAATCAGGAATGCAAGTTTATGCAATCAATTTGATGAGTATAAGGCTTTTAATTACTATGTTTATTGCTTCTATTAAAAATCTTTGAATATTTACACAATTAATTAGGAAAACGACGTAGAGGTATACCTTGAATACAATTTTACAAATTTAGCTGTTGATTCAAAAAAAAAGATTATTTTTATGAAATAACTTAATAAAATACTTTTTATAACTTACAATAAAGATAAATGTGAAATATATCAAATAGATAATGAAAAATAAGGTTAAGTGATCCTAGAGATTAATAAAAATACTCATAATTATGAAGAAATTTTAATGATTCATTTTTATTAAGATAGATTTTTATAGATTTACTTTAATAATGAAACTCTAATGTTTGATATATTTGTGTAGAAACTTCAAATTCATAGCATATAATTTTAAAGTACAACAAATAAAATAGAAAATAGTTACACTATAAAATTATCTAAAAATTAGTAAGAGAAATTTTTAATTGATAATACTTAGAAGTATATAATTTTGAGTTGTGAACACGAAATTCCATAATTGTTAATTTATCAAAGCAAACTTATGTTAATCTATTCTTAAAATGTAGAAATAATAGAATTTGGCTTAATAAGGCAGTTGATTAATATTTCAATCAAATAGATTTATAGTCTTTCTTCTAATTATTTAATTGGAATTGATAATTCAG